CTGGAGATTATGTTGCTGGAATGTTAGAGAGTAAATTTTGAGTGTGATTTGCCCATTTGGGCTTAATTCTGGCATCTGATTTTGGGGAGGAAAAATCTGTCATTCATTGACTGTCTGTGACCCTCACCTGACTTTTATTAACTGAGCTGCTAAACCATATGTGGATGCCCGAGGACAGTGGGCCATCAAGTATGCCTAGACTTCTTGTCCCTAATCCGCATGAAGGTCAGAGAAACAATGCTGCCTTTTGTGATTAACCTGTAGCAACAACAGAGATTATTTCCTACAAATCATGTCTTGTCTGTTTTTGATGTTTTTAGAAGACCACTCTAAAATGGACCACTAAAAAAGCCACTTATTCTTTTGTTTTTCCCTGACCTGCACGCAGAGCAGCTTGCAAAGGCTGGTGTGTGCTGGCCACTGAGAGCTCGCGTTGCAGTGGCGTAGGTTATCAAACGGTGAGTCGGTTTACACAGAAGTTGGGAATCATTTTTCTCTAGTCTCAAGATGGGTATGTATTTTCTAATCTAATTTTTTAGATATAGAAATGAGGTTCTTTAGATACTTCTATGAGTATGATATTGTAGGTATAAAATAAATTTGACAAGTTGTATTTCCTTACTAGGATTTACTCGCACCGTTTCTATCTTAAGTATGTATCCCGAGAAAACATTTGCCGGTTGGATAATAAACACAAATTCAGTCCAGATTCCGTAGCCTTGTGCTCAAGGAGAGTTAGTTAGGAATTGTTTTTGGCTGCAGGGAGCAGTGACATAAAGAGCAGTGCCCTAAATTGCTAAGATGGCAGTGAGGGTTAATACTATGACTTCTTGCTCTGCGTCTTTTCCGTTCTCAAGGTCCTCCTCCTGGTCACAAAGTGGCCCCTGTAGCTCAGCCACTTCTACATTCCAGGCAAGAAGACAGAGGAGAACATCCTAGTCAGCCCCCTTTTAAAGTAGCGTTCCAGAAGCCCCACCCAGTAACTTCTGTTTACATACAGCTGGCTGTGCTTATCTGCCAGGCAGGGTAGGGAATGTCGTTTTCCATTGCTAACTCATTCCCTATTCCCCTAAAAAGCCATTGTACTGTAAAGAAGAAGGAAAAAGAGATTTTGATAAGCACCCCACAGCTTCTGCCACCAGTGCCTTTCGTGACCTGCCCTGCCTGGCTTTGCATCTCATCTGCTGCTGTGGGCACGCAGCTCCGTCTCCAGCAGAACACGTGGCGCGCACTGAGCACCCCCTTGGTCGTCCTTCCCCGCCCTGCTGCATTCTGTATTTCTAAATGGCCTGTCTCCTGCGCCACTGTCTCTGCCTCTCGCCTCCAAGGCGCTGCTCCTGTCTCGTTTCCTCCAGGAGGCCTTCCCAGGACCGGCCCCTGCCCCTTCCTTCTTTCCTCTCATCTGTCTGTCACAGCCCTTGCTCGGTTTGGGCCAATGTAGTGTAGTTTCACAGTTAATTTTTCATATCCTCAGGGACTCTCTCCTCCTCCCCCGACTTGTCTAGTATCATAATTGTATATAATGTCTTCAATAGATGTTTATTGAGTCCTGTTGCAGACCTTATGCCAGCAAGATAACAGGAGAAAGTCCTTTTGTGCAACATTTTTCAAATGATTTTCTTTTTGTGAGAGAAAAAAATTGGTTCTATCAGCACATGCGCATCCACCATAATAGCTGTTGGCTGGCCTGTGCTAGGCGGCTGGCTCTTCAGTGAGTGGTCTCTTGGGTGGAAGTGCAGACAGCAGTGTGTTTGAAAAGACCGACTCTAAACGTGTCAGGAACAGGAACAGCCGGCCTCTTGGAATGCGTCGTTCGATGTGCCCGAGGTCAGGCACTCCCCCGAGAACAGACACAAGAAGGGGAGGGGACAGTAACGACTTCTCTTCCCATAAAACCCTGAAAGCCCATGGGTGGATGGTCACCAAGCTGATCTGGGGGTCAGAAGGCGGTCCGGCCGGGCGCTTGAGTTGCATAGTTCCGTACAGCGTCCTCTTCTAATAAACTTTTCCGTGGGGTGTTTTTTTTTTTAAGATTTTATTTTTCCGTTTTCTCCCCGTAGCCCCCGGGTACATAGTTGTGTATTCTTTTTTCTTTTTTTTAAAGATTTTATTTTTTCTTTTTCTCCCCTAAGCCGCTGGTACATAGTTGTGTATTTTTATTTGTGCGTCCTTCCAGTTGTGGTACGTGGGCCGTGGCCTCAGCATGGCCCAATGAGCGGTGCCATGTCCACGCCCAGGATTTGAACTGGCAAAACCCTGGGCCACCGAAGCGGAGCACGCAAACCTAACCACTCGGCCACGGGGCCGGCCCCATAGTTGTGATTCTTAGTTGTAAGTCCCTCTAGTTGTGGCATGTGGGACACCGCCTCAGCATGGCTTGATGAGTGGCGCCATGTCCGTGCCCAGGATTCGAACCGGCAAAACCCTGGGCTGCTGAAGCAGAGCAGGTGAACTTAACCACTTGGTCACAGGGCTGGCCCCAACTGTCCCGTGTTTTTAAGTGCTCCTTTCTAAACTACCTTTTCATGTTTCTAGAGATATTTTCAAATTCCACTTACTTGGGGCACTTGTTACCTTGACTTACGCTTAATGATTTTGAGATGTGTCCTTTTTCTGTTTAAACACGGGGCCCTGGGCGCCGCACTGTTGTGCCGCTCCTTCAGGCTGTGTTTGTAGACAATCGTTAAGATTTATGGAACATCTTTTTAAGATTAAAAGATTTCTTTCCAACTTGCCTTTCTCAGTGATGGGGCCTGGAAATTTCATAAGGAATGGCTTGTTTCTGGGACTTGTTTTAAAATGAGCGTGTAAACCGTCTACCAGGTGTCCAGTTGACTGAAAGATAATATTGGAAGGTCCTCCTAGATAGCTCGTTTCTTCTTACAGATCTGAACACATTGTTTCCCTTTGAATTTCATGCCATGTCTGAAACAGAATTTTGTGATTGTCTAAGTATATTTCTCTACTATTTACATTTTACACTCTGCTCGTCCTTCTTTCTGCAAGGGTTTTAATTAAACACCTATTGAGCAGCACCGTCTGAGGATCAGGGTGGTGCAGGGTCCAGTTGGGGTGAGAAATAGGCAGGAGAGCCCTGGAAGTCAGCTTGGCAGATAAACCCATGGAGTGCCAGGTGAGGGATGGGTTAGTGAGAGCCAGGGAGGAAATGTAGAAAAACAACCAAAAATGACACGCACGCCCCTTTCACAGGAGTGTTAGAGTTTCGAAGGAAATGATGTTTGAGAATTGTCAGAGAGGAAACAGGGAGCACACCCAGAACGGAGAACGGCATGGGCCACTATGGGACGGGGCAGGTGTCAGGCCTGGGGACTCAGCGTCGTGGTGACCCTGTTCTTCTTGGTCTTCGAGACCCGTCTGCTCTTCCCTCCCTGGTTCCTGAAGCCCATCTCTTCCTGTCACAGACACCAATTGTGCCTTCCTCATGTCAGCTAGGCGCTCCCCAGTCCATCCTCCATATCATCACCATGCTAATCTTCCCAGAGTTTTGATTTTGATCAGGTAATTGTCCTGATGATGGTAAACTTCCAGAAACGTCCCATTTTCTATAGATAAAGTGTATAATCCTCAGTCTGAAATTGAGGGAACGTCATCAGCTGATGCCACCCACCTGTGATTGTCTACGTCTCACCCTCCTCCAGCATCACCCCTCAGCTTGTCAGCCTCCTCAGTGTCCCCTAAATGAATGATGGTCTAATCTGCCGTGTGATTCTTCTTACCTTGCATAGCTTCCCACTTCTCTGTCCACCAGGCTTCAAGATCCGACTCAGACCTCTTCCATGGGGCTTTCTGTACAAATCTATGTGTATGCTCATGTGGTGATTTCTTCACATATTTTGTATGCACCACCCATTTTACTCATAAGTAAAAGTTGCCTTGAATTAAAAACATGATTGTTTTGCCTCTTTGTCTAGATTGTAAGTTTTTTGAGACCAGTGACCATGCTATACAATGATTTTTCATCTATTTTAGTGTCTGGCATATCACCATGCACATATGTGATATAGAGCAAGGTTTCTCGATCTGGCACCATCGTATTTTGAGCTGGATGATTTGTGTTTGTGGGGTTATCTGAGCATTGTCGGATGTTTAGCAGCCTCCCTGTATTCTACCCACTAGACACAGTAGCACCCTTTCCCCAGTGTGACACCCAAAATGTCTCCGCTTATGCCAGATGTCCCATAGGGGGCAAAAATGCCCCATCTGAGAATCATTGGTACAGCATAAGCAGAATAAGTTCTAACCAGTATCTTGGTGGGAATTGAAGACTGAAAAGATGGGAGTCATGATTTACCATATTTGGGTCTTGAGTGAAGACAAGCTCAATTGATGGAAGATAGTAAATAAATTTTCCATTTACTGTGATTGGCTATAGAAAGGCCATTATAGATTGATGAGCAATTGCAATGCATCTTAAGGTTAAGAAAGAGCAAGATGACAGAAGTATTCTTAAGTCGAAGTTCTGAAAATATTGAATTTTAGTTTTTGTTTCATTTTGAACCATTTCATACTTAGAAACACCATTTTCAATGAAATAAGTATTTTATTATTTAATTGGAAATTTACTTGGAGTTTATACATAACCGATACCTTTGGGTTAAGAACTACTTTTTGAAGTGTATTTGAGAGAATGAGTTTGAAATTATGAGTGCAGGTTATTGTAAAGTTATAACTATTGACCAACATCAATTGTGTTTATACAGAGTTTCACATAGTTTTTTCTTTTTTTGACTATTTGAGTATTGTCCTAAGTTCAGCAAATATTCCAGCCCCACGTGACACACACACACATACAATACACATGTGTCCGAGTGTGTAGTCTCAGAGTGTTTACCACTCAGGACATAGTGATTTGTATATTTCTGCTACTCTGTTGTAAGTTCTTCGTTTTTCTTTTATCATCAAACTAGGACACGACATAGATGCTATATGGTTGGTGTGCTGCTGACCTGGAAATAATGCACAGTGTCCTCTTTCCACAGCTGTGTGCCGGCCACAGTGCAAACACGGGGAATGTGTCGGACCAGACAAGTGCAGGTGTCATCCTGGATACGCCGGGAAAACCTGCAGTCAAGGTAGGGCATGGGGAGACACGAGGGAACTGTCATGAGCCCTGTTCCTGCCTGGAATACAAACCAGTTTCCCATGACTAGTGTTCCCAAATATGTGAGCTGCCATTTTGCTGAAAGATAAAACGTATAATAATGGTAAATCTTTTAAAATTCATTTCATTGGAGGACAAAAGAATTTCATCCTCTTGTTCTTACTCACTGCTAATAATTAAAACGTATTTGAAGAGGAGAATCTCAGCATCAGGAATATCAGAAGCCTTACATTTCTTCTCCTCCTTGTTCTTCCGCTAACGGGTTGGGAAGCTTTGCCAGATGGCTAGCCTCTCTGGGCCCCAGTGAGATGAAAGCACTTTAATTCTCGAAGTCAGGTAGGAAGTTTGACTTGAAATTTTGGGTCCCTTCAAATTCTGAGCCCTTCTATTTTGTGATTAAATACCCTTCAACTGTTGACCAGTTTGCGATGTTCCTCTGAGAAATAAAGATTTCTGTTAACTTAGCAACCTATTTTTAATGGGCATCAATTACTTATCAAAGCTAACACTTATTTAGACTCCCAGTGCCCGAGTGTTTTACGTTTACTCTGTGTGTTCATCATTACAACCACCTTAGGCGGTAGAGTGCTATTTACTGTAATTAAGCTATAAATAATAACATTCTTATTTCATTTTCCATTTGAAAGAGCTATCAGGGATATTAGGTGTCTTGTCCAAGTTCACAGAATTAGTTGGGAAAAGACCTACTCTGTCAATGGAACTATTGTCTAAATAATTTGTGTCCTTTCTACCCATTTAGTTTTGGCTGAAGAAAATATCCTTGGAACTGTGAAGCTCTGACCCGTGCTAAAAGTCTGACAGGGCTTGTCTTTTTCACTAATTTCAACCAGAAACTTTCCACCATTATGTGTAAAGAAAAGCTCGGGTTAGATTTCACTAGAAAGATACAAGGATAAAAGTCAATTTTTTACTCATTTCTTAAGTTAAATACTCCCTATCATTTTAAACATCAAATGAAACAATTCTGTGGGGTCTCACTGTCCCATAGACACTTGACTGCATCTCATACAGAAACCATATTTCTGAAAAGCTCTTTTCTTCAATATGTGATCCTCTCTGAGGTGTGTCATGCACACTTGTGATTTATGGACACGGTTTTCACAGCGGTCCAGAACACTGATGTTTGAGAGTACATGTAATTCTTCCTGGACTCTCAGATGAAATCCGTGCTAGTAAAATGGGACGTGTCCAGTGGTAGGACAAGCTGTTATTCTAAAGCCTGTTCTGTATTCGCTGTTACTTGATCGATAACTGATTTTTTCCATTGCTTCTTTTCTATCTTATAATATTTTTTTTAACTTGGATTTTACTGACATACCTGGGTAGTATTTTTTAAATAAGTGGGGTTCTTATTGTCTCAGTTTACTCTTTTTAAAATCTATTTGACTTTCCTTCTCCAGTCTAAGTTCACAAGTAGCAGCATGTTCTGTTCTCATTACTGAGTTATCAGTGTCGATCTTAGAGTCCCAGATGCTTCTTTCTTAAAGTGTGAACGTAAGCCATCAGAGGTTTCATTAATATGTCAGCACCGTAAAACTTTGTTGTCCCGATGCCAGGAATTTATACAAAGAAGATTATTAAAGGAAGCCACTGTTGAGATTGCAGAGAAATTCATTTAAACTTAGTTGCGGGAGCTGCATCAACTTTAATATGCTTCAAAGACACTAAAGACATAACTGTTTCTCTAAAGAAAAATGGAAATAACTGAGTTGAGGTCTTGCCTCCCTCTTCCTGAGGGGGAAGAGGATTTCATTAGTAGCAAAATGGGATTTCTCATCGGCAAAAATAGTGCTGACACTGAAAATGTAATTTCAAGTCCCATCTTGAATATAGAGCTCCAGCTTACAGTAAACATATGTGTTTTAATCATCTCTCTCTTTGCCTTCCTTACCAAAAAAAGCCACTGTGGCAGGTTCCTGGTGGAAAGGTTTACGTTCTCTGAGAGCAGGAAGCTTTGTGGTGTCTTTCTGATTGCTGGCTTCCTGAACACTTATTAGGATGACTTTCGTGTGAGACGTGCACATTACATGTTTGTTAAGTGAGTGGCTGTTTGGTGTAATGGTTCTTGGTCCTCAATGCCGTCGGAACTTGAAAGGGTTCCGTGGACTCGTCCAGCGCGGCACCGTGGCCGGTGTCTGAGTCCTGGACTGAGAGCTCATCGGGCTGAGAGGCTCCAGGAGCGAGCTGGGTAAGTGGGAGAGCTGGCGAGAGACCCCCCCCGAAACACGGCTAGAGCAGATTGTCTGTGTCCGCTACACAGCAAATTAACCGAGACTGGTTTTATCCAGACCATACATTTTAGTAAAGTGGAAAACATGCCTCCGAGATATGGAAAGTCAAACAGGTTTCTTTTTTCTTGAGAAAAATCTCAAGAAGAGGTATATTTGAAATATTTTCACAGAACTGGAAATTAGCTTTCGATTCAAAGTAGCTTTTGGTATAAGGCAAGTTATCTGCTAAAACTTTTGTGGTGAGTTGTGACTTTTTAAGAATCGCTGCCCGAAATTTGCTTGGCTTAGTGAACAGCGTGAGCAAATGACAAGCACTTAACAGTGCTTTTCAGCTGCTGGCGAGAGGCCGGACGGCTGCACAGCGGGGCAAGGCCGCTGCGGGACTGGCTTAGTTTAACAACCCTGGCACAGGACTGGTGTGGACCTGCTGGTGGTGGCTTGCTCTTCCTCTGAGTCATTTTCTGGATTTGCCGTGGCTGGGTCACATATAAAAGCATAGGCGTGGACTGCTCCTTCTCATGCTCCGTGAGGCCCTCAGGCCCTTCCACAGCAGGTGAAATTCCAGCCCGAACTCTGGCAAGATTTGCCTTTTCCACCTTACTTTCTCTGATGATTTTATTCATGCATTTTTCCCCCTCCTTAGTCTCTGTACCCATAAAAATCCTCTTTCCTCTCAGCCAAAAAAGGATATTGTTATGGATAATAATCTTCGTGTAACTTCCCCTTTAGGAAATGATTTTTAGCATGTCATCCATCATATCATTGCATATTTTCAGGAATAAAAGATATTCTTTTGAATTCACAGTGTGCTTTATAATAATTCAGAAGAAACAATTTATAAGTGTCAGTTACTAAAGTTTTGACATGGCTAATGTTTCACGCGTTGAGTTCCTCGTCCCAAGAGAAGAACGGTGCCTTGCAGCACAGGACCAGGCAGCGAGCTTTGGCGGACTAGCTAAGTCTGGCAGTTGAGTGCCGGCCCTGGCCCGCGGGTCTCGGTGCTCCATCCCTAACATTGAGGTAGCTCCTTACAGCCTCGCTTTTAGAAAGATGTGCGGTTTCACCCCCAGAAACCAATGTTCTTTCAGTTAGGAAGTTTAGCTTGCTGTGAATACTGTGATAGCTGGAGACACGATGTGATGGCCTTTTTGACTCTCTGATTTTTGAGTCTCACCCACCTTAGAATATTTCGGTGAGCTCTTAATGGCAACAGTTACCATTTTCGGCAGAAAGCTTCTTCTGTATATTCTAATTAAAATTGAACTAAATGTAATATAAGTTCTTACATTTGAATGGAAACATTGATGATCTATCATGCTGCTTATTTAAATAAGGTATTTATGCAAATCATAAATTTGTGCATAACTGTGGAGTATTTTAACTGTTGTATAACATAATAATATAGGAAAAAGTCTTAAGTTGGTCATTTAAGACCTCAGTGTCCCTAAACAGAGCAGGGTGATTGTAATCAGTATTTGTATAATCTGGTTTTTTTGAGTTTTCTCTTTTCGTTGATGATAAAAATCATGCTTTTAAAAATGAGCATCACTTTTTTGGTGTTTTTTTTTAAAAAATTGGTATGAGCATGATGGATTGTTAACTTATAATGTGTGTGTGTCCTTGGGAAGAAAGATGGCAGTGATAAATTTTAAGAAAAATAGAACATAAAAAGAGAGAAACCGGAACTACAAACTAATTTTTATGAAGTATCTAAAGCATTCTTTTTGAACTCCACCAACGTTATGTAACTGTTTAATATATACGTATAAAGATGTTTGGGGCTAATAGTGACATCCTCTCAGAGTTGACTCTTGTTGCCTTCTCCCTGGTGTGAAGACCAGCACCTCTACCCAACTCCTCTTGACCACGGCAGCGAACAGGCTTTTTCCCAACCCCCGGACCAGCGAGCCACAAGTGCGCCTTCAAGGGGTGAGCGTGCCTTGTCTCGGGTGGTCTGCTCTCCCACCCGCACGGCTTCCTGCAGTTTGCCACTTCTTGCCAATGTTCTCAAGACAAACTGGGAAGGCCCCGCCTGCTGCCTGCGGGGCGTGTGAAGCAGGCACTGTCGCCTGGGGCTGATTCTCTGCTCTCAAAAGCCTGGAGCCTCCACTGTCCTTTCACTGCCTTAAGCATCATCGCCTTTCTTCTTCTTTTCTGGATTTCAAACGTTTTCTAAAAATCGGATAACAAAATAACTTTTGTTTTCTTATGTAAGTGGAGTCAGGAATTCCAAAGCAACTGAGACTGGGATTTTCATGGCTTTCGCTAAGTAGGTTTTAGAAGTGCTCAGTCATCTTCTCCACCACCACATTTGAGGGGTAGAGTTTTAGGTTACCTGGAAATCAAACCACACCTTAGCTTCCTTCTTGGGGTGTACATTTTGCAACGCTAGAAAGCCTGAGTTCTGGTTCCAGCACAGCCCTTATGTAGCTGTATGATAGTGAGCGAGTCATTTAATGTGTCTGGGTCTTAGCAAACCTGTTAGAAGTACGTTTGCCTGCAGGGCTGGTCTGAGAATGGAAACACCAAAGATGTCAATGTCTTCATTACACTGGAAAGTTTTGTAGAGCAGTTAGGTGGCAGTATGATTTTACAGTTCTTCTTCTGAAAGACTTTGTCCTTCACCCACTCATAGATTTAGGAACTTAGAATGACTGAATTAAAATCATTTAAACTATTAATTAGTCTCTGCTGGTAGGGAACTTCATTTGTTTATCTTCTGCACAAAGAAGTAGGGCAGTGGGATTGATTTCAGAGACACTGATAGTTTAAAGAATAAAGTTATGGCAGTTGATGTACTGACATCCATTTGCCTGTGACCTTCATTTCAGTCAGATATGTAAAAGCTTAGACTTCTGAGACATTGCCCAGTTTAAGCCTCAAAGGAGGAAAAAAAGTCCAAATGCATTAAATGAATGAAAGATTGTTTTCCTTAAAAATCCATTGGGTTATCTTATTCAATGAATCTCTTCCAGATTTTCAAGCTTTCAGTGTCTGCATGCTAATAAAATTTCTGATTCTTTTTTTCTTGAAGTGTAATTATAATGCTGGCAGCTTGCATTTTTGTTCTGGACTAGCTCCTTTCCCATCCCTCCCCGACCCCCAAGCTCTTGAACCCACCAACCTGCTTGAATTTCCTCGTGCCTGTAACTGATGCTCTTTAAGAACTGCCTGCACAGCAATTGAAGCATTCGAATGTAACTGGTCTAATTGTAGAGTTCTGTCCTTTGATGTGATAGGATAGAATTCATTAATTTTTTATTATAGATTTTCCTTACATTATTAATGTCTAGAGAAAGAGCAAGATTAAGTAAATTTAAAATGAAAACATTGAAGTCTTCCTAGGTTTTTATCAACTTTTAAGATTGATTTGAGAAAGTGCAATCGAGGAGAGTTTTCATGTTCTTTATATTGTTCTGCTTATTATTGTAGGAGCAATTACTATGAACTGGAAGTGTCGTTTTTGGGTTTCAGACTTAATTTGGTAGTAACACAAGCATTATTAGGTATACAGTCTGAGAGATTTTGGAAGCAGCTCATATTAACTCAATTTTATAAGGCAGTAGGTCGATAAGAAAGTAAGGTATAATAATAATATATATCATAATATAATATCATATATCATAATATAATCATAATATAATAGACTAGAAACTCTGAAGAAAATTGGGGAAAAAGAAGTTCGTCACCGGGACACCAGATGCCTTTAATCTTTTGAAGCTCCCTACTTTACCAAAAGTCTGATGTTTGGATAGCCATGGGTTGTTATGGAATCCTGCTTCTGCAGTAGTTTTTGTGAGGGTCAGTGTGAGGTTTTTAGGAAACACCTGCCTGTGGCCGATGGGGCAATGATGGCTGTCACTGGGGACCCCAACGCCAGCCAAGGTGGTGACACCCACTCCGTCATCCGCTGTTAGAGTCCAGCTTTCTTCAGTTGCTTTCAACATATTTGGGTACTGATCTGTCAATTTGATAATTGTAAAATAGCCAACAGATGTCTCTGCATTTACCCATTGACAGCTGCATGTTTATTTCCTTTTCTACATCATTTCATAGACTGACTCCCAGGGTTTTTTTTGGATTATGACATTGTATTGAATTTTTATTTTCTTTCAGTTTCACAAATCTTAACCCCAAAGTGCTTTTTCCCGTGGGAAGGGAAGGATAAATTTGGGTTGAAGACCACCAGCAGCCCCAGTCTGTATCACAAAGATGCTCGCAGCAATCCTAAGGGACGCTTTATGGCCAAGACTGAGCTGCCTCAGCTGGGCTCAGCTTCAGTCTGTGGATGGTGTCTAGAGAAATTTCCAGCAGCACAAATACTCCTAGTATATGAGTTGCCTGGAGCTATAAACTTCTGACCAGTTCCCATCAGGAAACCCACAGAAGTTTCTGTGGCTCTTTAAAAATAAACCTAAGGGTTCTTAATTGACATGTTTTATGTCTGTCAGTAGCCTTCAGTTGAGATACAGAATTCAGTCTTACTCTATTGTTTTGCTTTTCTGTTCTATTTTTGCTTGGTGCAGAAAAATATTTAAAACACAAAGCCTTTCTCTAACAATGTACTCAGATTTAAATACTATTTACTGTAATATAAGTCAGGGATTTATCATAGCCAGCCATGAGTCTGCAGGGACCTGTTCGGAATGACAATTCACTCTTCTTAGAACATAAGAAACGACTCCCTGACTCTAAGCTTTAATAAATATTGAAATACAAGGTGGAAGAATATGAGAAGTGGAGTGAATTTCTTTTTCTGTCTTTCTTCCTTGATTTAAAATTTTTACTTCCTTTAACAGAGGGAGAAATCAAATTTTTGTTGATGCTATAATCTGCAAGTCACCTTCTTTGAGGAAATTTTTTTTGAAATATTTTAAAATGTGATTTTGTTTGAAATCCCTTGACGGGCAAGAGACAATAAAGTAGAAAATTGAAGAAAGCGTAGGAGATGACAAGGCATCTGGTTTATGTATGTGACCCTCCCTGGCTTCACCCAGCTGGGGCTCTGCTTACATTGTGTGAAGGTTAGAAAAAGGCCATGTTGGAAAGTCAGTAAAATATGAAAAAAATTTTAGATGCAATAATTATTTGGTGGTTTTAAAAAACAATGTAACTTGATGGTTTAAGTGAAATACATAGCTTTCTAATAAATGAGGTTAGATTTAAATTTGATTATATTCAGAAACAGCTTGTCGCTAGATATATCTGTATTTCTGATTTGACGCTATGGATTAATAGATAATTAAATTATGCTAATCAGGTGCTTATGCTCACAGTTCCACACAAAATAGACATGAGGTTGCATTTCTCTTTAATGAAGTCTATGTTTCGGGTATTTTGCTATTTCAGTGTTCATTTGTCATTAGGAGTTTTATGTTCCCTCCAGGCAGTGCTCAACTTGGGCTGGGGAATTCTTATAATGTGAAGTTTATTAATTCATTTCATATTGATATTTAAACTAAAAAACCTAAAATACATAATGATAGTCCATTAGTATTTCCATATGCCCTTAACTTTTTTTGTTTTTTACTGTGTGACTTGAATGCACAAAGTGGGATACTGAAGTTTCTTCTTTAATGTGAGCTCAGGATAGAATCTGTAAGATTGACCAAGAAAAACCATGATGGTAATTCATGAAGCTTTCCTGTGGAAGGTCAAAGTTGTCCGGTGCTTTGACATTGTATCCTTCTTGTAAACCAAAGTAGGCTCACACAGTATCTTCTTTAAGCAGAGGTGGGAGGACATTGAAAAGCTCGCTCACATAGTCAGGAGTGAATCTGGTCAATGTTTGGAGGATGTTGGGGCCAGCAGGTGACAGAGCACCCTCCCCATGAGGAGCCGAGTGCTGCTGTTTCTGGGGTGAGAAGGGAGCCACGTGTCTGTGAGGAGGCCCTTCCTAACCATCCCCTGTGGTCAGAGACCACGTGCGTTGTGTAATTTAAGCTCCAGAAGTTCCCACGGCCTCTTGTTGTTAGAAGGCCACCTCTGATAGAGGACTCTTGGTCGTCCCTGGTGGGACCAGTGTCCAGATTCAGACAGCGCGCACAGGCTCTGCCTTTGAAGGACATGACCTCCTGTTCTCCTCCATTCTCCAACACGGACATGTGTCTGAAGTGGTTTACGCTGGTGTTGAGCTTTTGTCCTTTTTCTGCCTCAACCCCGTTCTTTCAGATCTCAACGAGTGTGGCCTGAAGCCGCGGCCCTGCAAGCACAGGTGCATGAACACCTACGGCAGCTACAAGTGCTACTGTCTCAATGGCTACATGCTGATGCCAGATGGGTCCTGCGCAAGTACGTCAAGAATCCTCACTGTTTCTTGGGTGCTCTGGTGCTATGGTGGTGTGGGAAAGTGGGCTCCCAGCCCTCATCCTAAGCAGGATGTGAGCTTGTGTCTCTATGAGTGCCTAACAAATTGAAAGCCAACACAAGAGTGGCGCATTTTAGATGTCTAGCATTCTTTGACCATGGGTGCCCATGTTAAGTTGATTTGGAAATGGTATCTAGAACAAGAATCACAAAACTAAGTGTATTTTCTAATGTTTTTCCCAACATATTTTTCCCTATCTTCTATCTGGGCATAGAACTATTCCATCTAGGAAAAGAACATTAGTGGCTGTGTAGGGACTGTTGTGCTGTCCGTAAGGATGGACACTAAACTGTTTGCTGGTAGAAAATACATCAAGTCTGTGATTGATTATAAACCATTCACAAGTACCTTCTCACTTCACTTTTATGCTTCTTTATAATAGCCTAAAGACTATATTATGTCCCTTTTCTAAAAAAAAAAACCCTACTTCAAATGAAAAGCTAAATGAGTATAATAACAAAAAAGTAGATTTCGTGTGTGTCTTTATTAGAAAGAAATGTATAGAAATGTGTGGTGTCCCTGCGAGCATGTGGATGTGTTTATGAGATGGACCATGCCCTAAGATTCTCTGCAGGCGGGACGTTGAATCGGGGTTGTGTTTATATGGTATTCAACAATTGATGACTTGATTTTTATTTTTACTCAATTATCAGTTCAATTACTTAATTATCAATTGGTTAATTATCAGTTTATCTGGGTTGCATTTTATAAAACAGAAAAGGCTAGTTCATCTCACTTAGTGCTGCATATGTAGCGCGGTCCGCGGTCCTTTTTGGAGTGAGGTGAGTCCACGTTTCATAGCCTGTGGCGGTGATGCTAGAGCCTCGAACATCGTGCAGCTCAGGGGAGATCTCTCCCGAGAGAAGCTTAAAGCGTGGTTGAGACAGTTACTCGACGTTTTAGTTGAGACCAGCATTGAGCATGAGTAATCTGGACAAATACCTCAATTCTCCACTTTCCTTGGCCGCTGGAAGAATTTCCAGATAATCCATGTAAGATAAAGTTTTACATTTGTATTTTAATTCTTCAGATTCTTTAAAGGTCTTCTGCAGATGGTGACGGAGCTGGGTCACTTCTTACTCATCCCTGGGGGAGGAGGGTCTTCCCGTCCCTCCCCACATTTTTTACTTTCTCTAGATTGTTGGATCCTTGAGGCCTGTTCGTCCTCATTTTCATTCAGTGTCGCTGATTTCAGGACAAATGAAAACATCCTTATTTCAGTTATAGACTGTTCCCAACTGTGTAAGTCACACAGTCACGCTCTTCCCAGGTGCCCTGACGTGCTCCATGGCCAACTGTCAGTATGGCTGTGATGTTGTCAAAGGACAGATCCGGTGCCAGTGTCCCTCTCCTGGCCTGCAGCTGGCCCCCGACGGGAGGACCTGTGTGGGTGAGTTGTGAAACGGCGTCTCTCTCAGCCACAGGAGGGAGGTGTGGGAGGGGGGCAGGTCCTCACATCAGGTGACAGCTTCCCTTTAGAGGAGAGCGGATGTCCCAGAGGAGGACTGCTCTCCGTGAACGGACCAGGGAAATCTGTCTCCCTAAACATGAGGGATCGGAGGAAGCCCCAGGCAGCGGAACCACACGTGCGAGGCCCTGAAGTATCCAGGAGCCCAGTGTTTCTAGAACGGAAGAGGCAGGAGTGATGAAGCTGAACAGTGGACAGGCGAGCTGGTGTGGGTTGTGCTGAAGAGCTGGACTGTCCTCCCTGTCAATTAGGAAGATTGTGGCGAGAGTCTGGGCTTTGGTTGCAGCCTGATTGCCCATTCCTGAGAGAGTAACATCAGGCGAGAGACTGCCTTTCTTTGAGCTTGAGTCTCCTGGTCTTTAAAATGGGAGGAAAGCCACACAGAACCCTTGGGAGGGCTGAATGAGATCATGTCTGCAAAGAGGTTCGCCCAGCACCTGGCGCATAGTGGGCACTGGACAAATACCTCAATTCTCCACTTTCCTTGGCTGAATGAATGGAGCATTTGGCGATTCGAGAGAGATTTGCTGTCTCCCAGGCACTGTGCTAAGTGCTGGATATACAGTAGCGGGCAGAGCAGACAAGATTTTTATTCTCATAGGCTGATTTTCTAATGCAGGAAACAGAAAAGAAACAAATACCCAATAAAATGCAAACAATACGAAGTAGTTATAGGAGGCCCTAAGAGAGAGCAGAAAGGGTCTATTTTAGAAAATGGTGTTTGAGGAAAGGCCTAGTGTGAGGCCTGGCTGTTGGCCTGTGAGGCTCAGCCAGCAGGTGGAAGGCTTCAGGGCTGCAGGAAGGGGAGGCCGGCGCCTGTGAGGATCCGAAAGAAAGGAGGTCACGTGGCTGAAGCACAGAGTGTGGGGCGAGGGGCGGTGGCTTGAGAGACAACCGGTGAGGAAGGCAAGGGTCGTTGGTTGCAGGACAAGGTGAGGAATGAGGATTTAATTCAGAAAGCGGTGGAGACGGTTGAAGAGTTTTAAGCATGGTGATGTTTTCATAGAATCATTTTGACAGTTGAGTGAGAGTGCTTTGGAGGGGTAGGATTGGCAGGACAGATGGATTTGGAGGTTCCTATAACAGTCTGACCTGGGGTGATAGCTTGGACCAGTGTAGTGGCAGTGGGTGAAGAGCAGAGTCGATGAGCTCAGAGTTTTCCAGAAGTAGAATAACGGGGCTTGGTGAGTTGGGGGTTATGGGAAACAGGGTTGTCAAGGATGACTCACGTCTGGGTGGATGCAGGTGCAGGGTGTGCTGAGATGCGGTGCAGGCGGAGGACAGATCAGGAGGATGAGCTGGAATTTAGAGATGGGAATTCATGTTCCTGTGGGAGCAGCCAGCTGGAGAACACTTAGGATGGGCCACTGTGTGCCAGGCAACCATTTGCAGACTGTTATTTATTTTAAAATCCACTCCATCTCAACATGCTGCTGTTCTTCCTAAGATGCAGTTGACTTGTGTTCTAGATGTTGATGAATGTGCCACTGGAAGAGCGTCCTGCCCTAGATTTAGGCAGTGTGTCAACACTTTTGGGAGCTACGTCTGCAAGTGTCATAAAGGCTTCGACCTCATGTACATTGGAGGCAAATACCAATGTCACGGTAACGAACCCCAACCACTGCTATGTGTCTTTCTTCCTGTGGCGCAGAAAGGTCTCTTAGCTGGTGACGACGGGCTGTCGGGGGCAGTGTGGGTCCTGGTGTTAAATTCAACAAACAGAAGTCCAGGTCAACCGCTGGTTGTTCTGGACGCACGTGTACTTTACGTCGTCTTTTTATCTGCCAGCTTTACACAGACCTTCACATTGCCCAAAACAAACTTTTTGAGGCTGTACATATTTTTATGTCATCATATTTATCTCCCCAGTAAGCCTCTGTCCCCGCTTCCCGCTGCAGACATCGACGAGTGCGCCCTGGGGCGGTACCAGTGCAGCAGCTTCGCTGGGTGCTACAACATCCCCGGGGCCTACAGGTGCAAATGTAAAGACGGGTACCATGGCGACGGACGGAGCTGTGTGTGTGAGTGATGCTGTCTCTCTGCTCTGAGTTCCAGCAGGACACGCAGGGTCACAGCCAGGCCGTTACTAGGGAAGATAAGGAGTAAGATTAATGATCAAGGAAGTACGGTTTTCATAGCTGGGCATATTAGTCTATGCTTTCCACAGACAGTAACTTCCCTTCCTCAGGTATTTTTAAAAACTAAAGACTCAGTAATACACCCTAATCTTAAAGGCATTCAATTCCTTGATTAAAATCTCTCAACCGCTTCCCTTTAGCTGGCAAGAAATGATAGAGCCCTCCCTGGGAATTTGGGTTTGCTAAAATTGGACATAAATGTTTGTCGTTAGCATTAGATTGTGATGGTGGGCTAATCTGAATATATCCTACACTTTCCATTCCTCTGTTTCAGGCCCCCTTGTTCTGCTATTAGAAGGTCATTCCCGGGGCCAGCCCTGTGGCCTAGGGGTTAAGTTTGGCACAGTCCGCTTCAGTGGCCTAGCTGGCATGAGAGATTTTGACGTGTTTGTTTTTTACAATTTGGTCTTTTACTTTTTTAGGGGAGGTGGTTACATACTAATTTAAGTCTTTTGTCCCTTAGATATTCCAAAAGTCATGATCGAACCATCGGGGCCCATTCACGTGCCAAAGGGAAATGGCACCATCTCAAAGGGAGACGGAGGACGCGGTAACTGGATTCCTGATGTTGGAGGTACTCGGTGGCCTCTGAAGACGCCATATATTCCTCCTGTCATTACCAGGAGGCCCACTGCTGAGCCAACAACAAGACCTACCCCAGAGCCCACGCCACAGTCTACCCCACCCCCACCCACACCCCCACCCACTGAACTCGGAACCCCTCCACCACCAGCAACCCCAGAAAGACCAACCACCGGACTGACAACCATGGCGCCAGCTGCCGCTACATCTCCAAGAGAGAGTACAGTCGACAACAGGATACAGACAGATCCTCAGAAACCCAGAGGAGACGTGTTCAGTAAGTCATATAAATGCTGGCATATTGTTTTTGAGGGTTTTCTCCCCAGTTTTATTGAGATATAATTGACATACAGCATTGTATAAGTTTAAGGTGTACAGCATAATGGTTGGCCTTATATATATTGTGAAATGATCACCACAGTAAGTTTAGTTAACATCCATCATCTCATCTAGATACAAAATAAAAGAAAAACTATATGTATTTTTCCTTATGATGAGAACTCTTAGGATTTCCTTTCTTAACAACTTTCCTGTAAATCATAAAGTAGAGTTAACTATAGTCATAATGCTGTCCATTACATCCCTGGTACTTATTTAACTTGTAGCTGGAGGTTTGGACCTTTTTATCACCTTCCTCCAATTCCTCCTCCCCCTCCCCCTGCCTCTGGTAACCACAAACCTGGGCTCTTTTTTATGAGTTTGTTTGTTGTTTTTTAGATTTCACATATAAGTGAGATTATACAGTATTTGTCTTTCCTGTCTGACTTATTTCACTTAGCATAATGCCCTCAAGGTCCATCCATGTTGTCTCAAATGGTAGGATGTCCTCATTTTTTGTGGCTGAATTATATTCCATTGTATGTTTATACCACAACTTCTTTGTCCATTTATCCATCAGTGGATACTTACGTTGTTTCCATGTCTTGGTTATTGTAAATAATGCTGCCGTGAACATGGGGATGCAGATATCTCTTCAACAGTTTTTTCATTTCCTTTGGATGTATTCCCAGAAGTAGGATTGCTGGATCATATGTTATTTGTATTTTTAATTTTTTGAGGAACCTCCTTTCTGTTTTCCATGGTGGCTGCACCAATTTACATTCCCACCAACAGTGCACAAGGTTCCTTTTTCTCCACATCCTCACCAACACTTATTTCTTGTCTTTTTGATAATAGCCATTCTAACAGGTGTGAGGTGATATCATTGTGGTATTGATTTGCATTTCCCTGATGATTAGTGATGTTGAGCAACTTCTCTGGACAAATGTCTATTCAGTTCCTCTGCCCATTATTTAATTGGATTATTTATTTATGTATTTTTTGCTATTGAGTTGTGTGAATTCCTTGTATATTTTAGATATTCACTTCTTATCAGATACATGGTTTGCAAGGTTTTTTCCCATCTGTAGGTTGTCTTTTCATTTTGTTCATCGTCTATTTTGCTCTGCAGAAGCTTTTTAGTTTGGCGTAGTCCCACTTGATTATTTTTGATTTTTGTCGTTTGTGCTTTAAGACATGCATGTGAGTATCCGGTTGTCCCAGCACCATTTATTGAAGAGACTGACTTTTCTGCATTGAGTAGTGTTGGCTCCCTTGTCAGATGTTAGTTGACCATATGGGTGTGAGCTTATTTCTGGGTTCTCGGTTCTGTCCCATCGGTCTGTGTGTCTACTTTTATGCCAGTATCATACTGTTCTGATGGCTGTGGCCTTATAGTGTAGCTTGAAATCAGGAAGCGTGCTGCCTCCTGCCTTGTTTCTTTCTCGGGATTGCTTTGGCTGCTCACGGTTTTTTGTGTGAGCCCCTTTTAAAGGAGCTCTTTATGATGACATTTCCACCACAGGCCAAGCCCTGAACTAAGAATCAAACTCGTAAAAAGAACTAGCTGTACAAAGCCTAAGTGATACATCCCTACTGTTAGATATTATAAGGAGCTAAATAAAAGTCCGTCGATCGGACAAATAAGGGAGTGTGTAGAAACGGAAGGAGCCACAGAGTACACCACAGTTCCTATCCAGTGTGGGAATTCTGACGTACTCGGGTTTACTTGAGAACTCTCGGAGATGGGGAAGCAAATGTATCTCGTGCCATTTAACGTTCAGTCTAAATGTTCAGTGGGTCAGGAAACATTTCTGAGTGTCTTTAGAGTGCCGGGCCCTGATGAGGCATTGGGCTTATTTCCAAGATAAAACAGAGAAGGTTTCGGTCTGGTGGAGAGGACAGTCACCCAGAAGGGGACTGTGGAAGCAGGTCAGTGAAGGTTGTGTAGGACATTATGGGAGCGGAGAGAAGTGGCACCTTGTCAGTCTGTGGGCAGGGAGCAGTGAGGGAGGCGTTCTAGTCAACGGGACGGGACATGGGCGCAGGGCTGGGAGGCAGCACAGCCTGTGCAGGAAACTGGAGGGTCGAGTCCAGGGCGGGCAGGAAAAGCTGGACAGCTGGCCCTCGTGTGTGCTGTTAGCTGGTTAGGTCTGGAAGACGCCCAGAATTCTACTGGCTGGCTGGGAGAGGGTGGGACTGCCTCTGGGGATGGAGGCTGTAGGGAAAGAAGCAGGTTTGGAAGGAGGAAGAGGTTGTTCCCTAATGTTAGTACCCACCAAAATGTGCACTTTACGCCTCTGCCTGTCCTGGTGCTGAGCCGCCGGTTGCGGTCCACGTGGCCTGTTCCCAGCCGCCTTTGTGTCCTGTCGCCTGTCTCCTCTTCTCCTATGATGTTTTAGTTTCTTCTCTTCCTTTCCTTTTCCCCGTGATGGACTAAACTCTGCTCCTTTTCTTTTGAACACTGTTGCCATTTTTACCACATGAAAAGAATACTGACCTTTGTGATTTTTTAAAAGAGAAAAAGCTTCTTTTTTTTCTTGTATGTGACTCTCAATTAAATGTTTTCCTCTAGGTCATTGTCCGTTTAGATAGCTTGAGATTGTCTAATTCTGATGTAGTTGTAATTCTGTGTATTCTGAGCAATAGATATAATTTTTAGAGGAATTAGGTGGTCCATCTAATAATACATTTTATATGTGCATCTCGCTTACTTTTTGAAAAGCAAATTTTTGTAATTTTTCTCCTCCCTTCCTCCCTTTTTCCCCTCCCTCTCTGTCATCCCTCTCTTTCTTACTCTTCTGCTTTGTTTTCTTCATCTCTTTGTGATCATACAATGAGATTTTTATTCATGGGTGCTTAAGTAAATATAATATTTATATTATTTCACTGCCTTAAAGTATGGTCATAAAAACTTGGCTGTTTAATGTAAAAAGACACTCTAACATAGACGTCAACATCTTTCTGAGTCTTAATGTTTTCTCTTTTTGAAAAGTCTCTCTTCCTATTATTCCTTTCCATACCGACACACAAATGAATTAAAAATAACGCTGAAGTTCACCAGTAGAATTTAGCAGGACAGAATTGGGGAAGCGTGGACTTCCAATGGTGTCTGAGAGCACTCGTTCCAGCAGAGGGTGACTTGCAGACGTGCCCGGGGGAGGAATTCCCTTGATCCTGTGCCCGGGCTGCTGCATGCCACAGATAGCATTGCTGCTCGGGACATCCTGCCAAAAATTAAATTCCACTCCCTTTCGTCTTCAGCCGTGGCTGCCGGTTACTCTCAGCACCTGTGAGGGGATTGTGGACACTGCTTAATTTGCTATCTTGTGATTGCAGCGTATATTCTGAATTAGGGAAAGGTTCTCAGTTTTTAATTCAGGACAAGTAACTTGTTATTATTCATTGTGAAACAGAAAACCTCAGCACTATTTTAGTTCAACACCATTTCTTCACTGAATATTTTCTTCACTTCTGGGATAGTAACTTTCTACGCCATCCTTATCTTCCTCTGGTCTGAGAACAGAACTCAGGTCTCCTCATTTCATGAATTTTCAGACTGCCTGGCAGTCTCCAAGTGGCCCCATACTTCAATTGCATTTTTCTTTACATTGAAATATACATATTTCTTTAACGGAAGAGGTTGTTAAGCAAGGCTATTCTTTATGTGTGTGTGTGTGTGTGTGTTGTCCCCTTGAGAAAAAACTGTAAAGATTCTGAAAGGAAATCAAGGAAGACAAATTATAGCACAAATACCCCTGTAGCCTAGACTTCTCCCCAAACTCTAGACTCCTGTATCCTCTGCCTGTTTGACCTCTCCAGCTGGATGAAAATAGATGTCTCAGACTCAACGTGTCTAATTCTTCCTGACCGTCACCCCAAGCCCATTCTCCCCACAGCCTTTCGCCCCCCAGGATACGGCATCTCCGTCCTACAGATTGCTGAAGCCGAAGATCTTGGCGTCCTCTTGTTCCTCTGCGTACCCCACATCCAGTCTGTGTGGAAATCCTGTGAGCCCTACTTCAAATTAGGTCTTAAGTGTGGCCACTGCTCACCATCTCCAGTGCCACCACCCGGGCCCGGGCCATGCTTCCCCCAAGCACAGGTCCCAAATCCCATATCCAGATGAGTTGTGGAATCCAGCATCTTCCGACTAGAGAAGGACTGTGGTGCGTGTGCTGTATGTTACAAACTGAAGCACGTCAAGTCTTTCCACAGTGAAATACGAATATTTACATGAATTTGGCCACTAAAGACATTTGGGCCAGATTAAGTGAAGGTGGTTTTGCCACCTAGTGAGTAACAGCAGCAGCTCGTGGACTGCAGAATTACGGGGAGGCCCCGTGGACCTGTACTGCTGGCCCTCCAGCCGGTCTCCTCCCCAACCCCCCTGTCTCCTGTGGCTCTTCTCAAGCCAGCAGCCAGGGGACCTTTCAGAACTGAAATGAGGTGTCATTGTCACAGCTCTGCACCAGCAGCCACTTGGTGCAGGAAGACCTTATGCCCTCCCAGCATCCCACAGAGTCCTGATGGCCTCAGCTCCTGGCCCTCTGCCCTCACGGCCCGGCACCCTCCCTCACCCTCAGACTCCTCCCACAGGACTTTTGCTCCAGCTGTTCCCTCTTCCTCTCCCATGCTATCAGCTTGGCTCACTTTGTCACCTCCATGCAAATCTCAGCTTCCCGGGGAGGCTGCCCTGACCCTGTTCTGTTCTGGGACTCCAGCTGCCACCCGAACACCTGACCTTGCTGCTCCCTACTGCTTTTCTTTTTTAAATAGTGTTTATCACCTTCCAATATACTTTATTGTTTACTTGTTTATAATGTCTATTTTTGTCTCTCCTTACCAGAATATAAGATTTTTGAGGGCCAGGATCTTTGTTTTGTTCACTGGTATATCTCAAAAACCTGAAATAATGCCTTGCACATAATGGGCACTGGAACACTATTTGTGGAACAA